CCGTCGCGGGCGCCAGCGTGTGCTCACCCCTACCACGCCCCTCTGCCGCCTGAAGCCGCGCCGCCAGGGTGTGCCAGGTGTGCGGGGCGGCCCCCGGGGCCCCTTCCCGCTCCTCGGCCCCTCACGTCTGTGGTGGAGCCCGCGTCAGGGCACCGGACGCGCCTTCAGGACCCGCTGCTCCGCCTCTCCCTGGTGAAGGCGTCCGGAGCTCACACAGCGCTCACCTCGCAGCGGGGCCGCCCGCCGCCCAGGTGATGCTCCACGACCACAGCCTGAGCCTCACCAACAGGCCTGGCATGCACCCGTCACGTTTTCGGTCCCCTCCTCAGAGTGAGCCTGTTGGATGCTCGTCCTCGGCCCTTTTTATTTTTGGTACTGGGAATCGAACTCACAACCTTGCTCTGTGCCGCTGAACTATACTCCTGGCCCCTCAGCTCTTTTTAGACAGGGCCTCACGGCCTTAGCCAGGCTGGCCTCACGCTTGGCGTCCCCTGGCCTCAGCCTCCTGAGCGGCTGGGCTGCCTGGGCGCACACTACCCTACGGGCACCCCCCACGTCAGCGAAGATCCACCTGGGGGCCCTGGGCAGCACCTGGCCAGTGAGCACTGAGGACCCCTCGGACGGTCCGGCAGCCTTTGCATCGCTTCGCTTCTTCCCAAAGTCCATCCACGACAGGTCACCAGACATCACACCTCACGCTGTCCATCCGAAAGGTATCGAGCGCCTCTGAGCCTGTAAGGCTGCACACGCGTTTCAGCCTACTGACAACTCTGACAGCTGACCCGGGCCTTCTCACACTCACACGGGCTCTCAGCGGCCTCTGCAAGCTTGGCGTGGTGGCACAACCCTAGCATTTGGGAGGCCGAGGCAAGAGGATCCTCGCGATTGAGGCCTGCCTGGGCTACGTAGTGACATAGTGAGCCGCCGTCTGGCCACCTCCTCCTCCCGCAAGAGCCCTGAGGGGGTCCCCCACCATCTCCAGAGGGCCTGGGCCCCGCACCCCCCAGCCCCAACAGTTAACACCACAGGGACAGTTTATCATAGAATAGATTTATTTACTGGAAACCGCGTCTGTGCAACGCCTGTTACCAGCACAGAAGGGAAAACCGACCTTTATTTACAGTCTAGTCAAACATGCGTTGTGATAAACTGACGCTTAGCATTAGATTAAGATAAATGCATCACAATATTTGTATTGCACCAACATCTGTCTACTGCTTCGGATTTCATTAAATAAGTTACATTTAATACAGTGTGAAATAGCTGTCTATGCACACTCAAAAATAACTGGTTATAAACTGGAGGCCTACATTTTAACCACTCAACACCTGTAGTGTGTTTAACAAATTTATAAATAAGCAAACTGTACAGGGCCAATTTTAAAAAGTAGCAAGTCTCAATGTCACCGCAGAGGAACCTGGCTACGGACACCGGCAGGCATGCACACAGCTCAATATTGTACACTTGGAGAAGCAAGGACATTCGCAGAGAAATGTGGAGACTCGGCTGATGGCTTCTAGGCTCATGGATAAGGTTTCAGAACCTCATTCTTCTTGCAGCAAAGAAACCAACTTTTCTGGAGAGGCTTTCTGATTTCATTAAATTGTACATTTGTAAGCATTATTTTGATTGAAAAGCTAAAAACCCCACTGCTGATAACATCTCCCCCACAGTACACACGGAGGGCGGGGAGCGTTTCCTGCCCTTTCCCCAACATCAGCCATGCAGAGGGATAGTGGATGTGTTGCTAAACACGCACATGCACGCGACCGAACACCCTTACATTTCTGCAAAATGGTTTAGGAAGCGGTTACTCCAGTATCACTGCAAAGGAAAGAGAGAGGGGATCAGCTTCGTGAACCATGGGAAGGAATGTCAGAGTAACTACCTAAGACTCAGACGGACAGGACAGAGGAGAAGGGACACTCAGCTTAATCTCGGGGGTGCCAAGAGCAGCATTTTGGTTCAACTGTCCCAAAGGTGCCACCCACACAGGCTGCATCTAGAAGCAGTGGCTCAGTGATGGTGTCCTTGTGCTGTCCTCCTGTGCAGCCAAGCTGCCCGATCCGCCCCAGGTGCTGAGCAGTGCCAGCCGGGGTGAGGGGTCAGGCGTGCAGGAGGCAGTGGCGCAGGAGCGAGCGCCCTGGTGCCAGCGCTCCTGCTGTCCCCTGGCTGCTGCCCCACCCTCTTGGGAGAAGGCCACACCCGTCCGCTAACCGCAGGGTGCTGGCCATTCTGCCGGAGCCTGGTGCTAAGAGGCAAGGCGGAGGCGAAGGGCACCGTGGCCTAGCTTGCTGCACCGCAGGGGCAGTGTGGCGCGTGGGCTGTGGGCAGTGGCGCGGTGCAGGCAGATGCCGAGCTGATCTAACGCTCTGGGGACGCCCTCCTCGCAGGCCGCGCCGTGCTGGAAGCTGGCGGCTGCTGTGAGGCTGGCTGGCCCCTTCCCCGTGGCGGCTCCCTAGCTCCCCGTACGAATGGGCAGCACAGCTGCTGTGTTCCGTGCACAGGGTGAACTCTATCCAACAGGTCCCCGCTCCGGGCCAGGCGCATGGTGGCTAACAAACCCCTGGGTGAGGACGGGGCTCTTCAGGCTGAGCACACGAAGGCAGAGGCGCAGGCCGTTGGTGTCAGCTGGCCACACCTGCTACAGGAGGGACTGAGGGGCCTGAGCCCTGAGCAGGTGTCGGGGCAGAGACGGAGTGGCTATTCCCCAACAGGCCTGAGGCTGAGCGACCACAGAAGCAGCCGGCTTGGCCTCTGTCCACGCGCCCGGCTCCTGCTGGCCAGCTCCACTTGCCTTCTGTAAAGGCCACTCAACAAGGCACCGAGTCAGGAGACACTGTGGGGCGCCTCGCCCACGGCCCAGCCAGGCCAGACTTCCTGTTCTGCCCTGCAGCTCGGATGCGCTGCTTGCATCTGCCCCACTTGCCTTCATGCCTCATGATACTCAAACGGCTGGGGCCTGCCCCTCAGAGCCACGCGTCCTGGGGCAGCCCCAAAGGCCTCGTGCCAGCCGCCCATGACCAACATGCCTCAGTGCATCCCTGGGGGCCTCTGAACCTCCTCCCTGCATCCCACATCCGCAGCCACCTAGCCACCCCAGCCCCAGAGCCCGCGGACCTTCCCAGGTACCGCTAGCTGGGCCTCAAGGCGAGGCAAGCTGCTACTTGGCTCCGCCATTAACAGCTGGGCCGGGAGGATGAGCAGAGCCCTGCCCAGCACAGCCAGGGAACACACCCTGGGGAGACGGCACAAGCTTTAGCCACAGAGGATGTGACCCAGAAAGGTAAAGGAGGTGGCCCATTTAAGACGAACCAGCACTGTCTGAGTGCGTTGGCTCAATGACGTGTGCTGCTGGCTCAGAGGTGTTCGGGTGACTCCTTGCTGCTGGCAAGGTCAGAAGCCGCACCTTGTGGCTCTGCAAGGCCTCCCTTCAGCACCAAAGGCAGCTCAGCTTCCTCAGCCTCAAGTGTGCCACAAACAGCCACTCTCCCTGGCGCGGCGACGAGGCCCTCCCAGCATCCCGCAGAGCTGCTGGGCCAGAGCCGCACCCGGAGCCAGCAAAGCTGCAGAGGCTCCTGGGCCGCCCTGGGGCTGACACTTCCTACCCCTGCGGGACAGCGGCCACACAGCAAACCAGAGGCCTGCCTCACTGGTGGCATCACCCGGGGCTAAAGCATCCCAATTTCAGGGGAGAAAATACTCACATTAGTTGATGGATGATGGAAGGCATTGGAGGAAAACACCACGGTTAGGACTGTTAATGACTCACACGCTGTTGTAAGACTAAGCTTGAACATGCGCAAACATCTCTCAGATAATAATGGTGGTGGTTAGTGCCACATCAAATAAAAATAGTTCTATACAATATGTTCATTTGGTTAGGTGCTATTTACAGATTTTACAAAACACATACACGCGTGCGCACCCACGCACGCACACACACGCACACACACACACACACACTTCCCTTACATTCCTTGCACCAGGCGACATATAGGCCAGCAGAAACTTGCGTAAAATGTGTATCACAGGTGACAATTTGTGCCTACACATTAAGGACAATTTCCATGACTACCTACGCAGCAGAACAGGACCGCTCTTCCCTCAAGCAGAGTAAACTAAAGTTCTGAACTAGTAAGAGAAAGGTGACTATCTGAGATAGTTCAGGATAAGCCACTTAAGAACAAGACAGTTATTTTTCTCTGTCCATTTAAAATGTTTTATTTTTCTTTTAAAACTAGATCGTGAAGTGCCACTGAAGTAGGCGATGTTGGCAAAACAATGTCTGTTACAATAAAGTACATTAGACATTTAAATAAATAACCTTAAAAACTATGTGGAGGGATACGACCCCAGTTGACTGAATCTGGAACAATGTTTTCTGCACAAGCGAGACAGGCATACCTCTGAAGACGGTGTAAACAGAACCGAGACCCTAAGAAGCCGAGCAGGACGGGGCAGCAGGGTGAATGGAGGCGGGCGGTGAGGAAGTGGCAAACCAAAAAATACTGACTGAGGTAGCAGACTCTGCTCAGTGCAGAAAAATTGGCTTATGAATAAAAATTAGACTGTGATATCAAATTAAATCCAGGTAATCATGCAAAAGACAATACATGCTATTTAGTTTTTTTTTTTAAAAACCCCACACACATTCATTTCCTAAAGTCTGCTGCCAATTAATTTGCTGACAATGTCTGCTGGCTCAACTATTTTTTTATACAAGGATGAGTATTAAACAGAACACTGTACATGCTTTTTCATCTACAAAAAAATATTTGCATAAAATAGTGTTAGTTCTCTGTACATGTCAATGGACACTTTAATTATGTGTATAAAAAAGGAAAATCTTGAGCCCCACTGGAGTCAGAAAAAGCAAAACAAAATCTAGAGTATGAAACCTCCTTCACCAGCCAATATGTTCATGTGAAAATTCAGCAGAAATAGACAGTTGCTTTAAACAATAAAAAATTAAGTTAGACATCTTCTGCATGGAGAGCTGTCAGTCAAGACCAGAACATATCACTAAAGTTAGTGTCTGTGCTATACACCCAGACCACCAGGGGCATTATGAGCAGCACAAACGGCCAGGAAATCCCATCGGTGCATGCCGAGAACGAGCAGGATTTGGTGGGAGGCTGCACACACTCTTTACCAGGTTCCAGGTAGTTGCGGGCCACGAACTTCAGCGTCTCGTCCATCAGAATCACAGGCAAGGAGATTTTCAGCACCATCAGCCACTGGGTCAGATTCAGCGGTGTGATCTGGAAGATGAGCTGAGACACAGAGGCCGCGTCAAGCCCCGCTCGTGCAGGAGGGCACCCCCCAGACCCCTGCCCGCCACTCCCTCCCTCACTCACTGGCAAGGGCTCCACATAGAGGATCAGGAAGTGGAGGGACATCGAGAGGCAGATGGACCCCACGAGCCAGATGTTCTCCCAAGGGGGCATCCTCAGCAAGGACTGGTTCTCGGACAGGCTGAGGACGGGAGGGAGGGAGCTCAGCAAGGAGGCAGAGGCCCACATTCGCGGCAGCCACACCGGGCACCGCTCCACTCTCCCACACCCACCGACCTCATTCTAGGTACCGAAGTTCCTTTCCACCTCGGCAAAGTTAAGGCAGAGAAACTCAGATGTAGGACAAACTGCCAATTTTACATCTAGGCCTTGACACAGCAGATCCCCTCAGCACGCTCAAAGCTGTCTGACCGCCCTGGACACCTGGGCTATTTAGAAATCTCCCTTTTTGTCACTGGCTTAATTGGATGGTCCCATGTGCCAGCACTGCAGGGTGAGAAGCCTCCCCTGAGGGGCCGGCCCACGGAGCGGCGCTCCCATTCCTGTTGTTAAGGGACAGCTCCAAAGCACAGGGCTGAGCACGCCCACCGCTTCCCGGAGACGGCGACAGCTTAGGCTTTAAACCTGGGGCTGCTTATTCTCTTTTCTCTGTCAGAGGGAAGGACTTTCCTGCGACCTTCCCTCAACCATGACACACAATCCCCAGCGCCCTGATGGTCAGAGCGTTTGCCTCGCCCACTGCAGACTCACCTGTTGAGGGCGTTACACATCTCTATGGTTACTAAAACAGAGAGCGCCATTGTCATCGGGTACGGGGACTCAAAGATCGAACAATCTACTCCTTCAAAGTCTGGGTTGTCCTCTTTACATTGCAAGAAATGACTCTGCAACAAACATTCGTGGTTATTCCCAATCAGCTAAGTCCCCACCACCACCTTCACACTGAGCTATATCTGCTAGCCCTTTATTTTGGGACAGGTCACCAAGTCACTAAGCTGTCCAGGCTGGGCTCAAACTTGTGATCCTCCTGCTTCAGCCTCCCTTCCAGAGTGCTGGGATCACAAGCACCACCATACCTGACCCAACTAACCCTATTCCTCAAGTCCTAGCACTAATCCACACCACGCCCAGACCTCAGACCCAGGCCATGTGCAGAATGGCCGTGGGTTCCATTCTATCTCCTAGAGAAGCCCTGGCCCGGAGGTTCATCTCCTATTGTTTGAATGTTAAGATGATTCAAGAGACACCTAAACCACGGAAAGATCAAGGTCTTGCCCAACACTTTACATTCAAGGTGCAGGAAGGAAGGGTTAAATACCAGCTGGTAGAAGGTCACTCTGGGACCACCGTCAGCAGCGATGAACCACCATGCAGCAGCACCCACGGTAGCGGCGCCGACATAACCTGGGAACAAACAGGACGCTGCTGATGTTCTTGGGGCTTCTGGCCACACAGTGACGCTCCACGGGCCAGTCCCCAGGAGAAGGTGAGCCACAGCACAGGCAGACACGACGCTGGAGCTCACGCTGCTCCTGCAACACCTTGCGCCCTGCAGCCCATGCAGCCAGACTACAGGGCTTAGGGTTTAGCCCTAAAATGTCTGCATGCCTGGAGTTCAGAGATGGGGTCATCAGACGGCGACTGAGCACAGGAGGCTCAGACTCGGCACTGACCCGCCTGGGAGCTCCCAGCTGGCTGTGCTGCTGGAGGAGGCCAGTCACAGAGACCTGGACAGGGTCTCTGGTCCCCAGCCCTTTCCCACTCTGCTCTGGCCCCGATGAGGCGAACAGCTTTCCTGAGCTGTGTCTCTCCCCGTGACCTTTCTGCCTTGGAGCTCGTCCAAAACGGACTGAAAATGGCTGAAGTCATGACCCTAAATAAACTTCTCTTCCTTCAAGTTGCGGGTGTCATGTACTTTGTCCCAGCAACAGGAAAATGACTAACACCACAAGGGTCCAGGGGGGTGGGGCACTTCCGGCACAGACGAACCAGGAGCCTATCACACTCCCGTTGCCCTCTCACTTGGGCGACCTCTCCATGGGCGAGTAAAGGCGGCAAGGCTGTAGACCTGTGTTCTCCGAGTAAACCCAATGTCCCGGTAGCCTTGCCATACATGACCTTTAGGCAAATGGAGATTACCCAGAGGGACACGGACTCGTCTGTACCATCGAAAGCCAGGCAGAACCTTAGCACAGAAGGCCCCAGCCGAGCAGGTGGTGGCCAGCACTGAGCAGCACAGCAGAGCCCAGAGGAGGTTCTGGGCTCTTTCCTCATAGGCTTGGAGTTTAGGAGGTGACCACCACCAGCAACAGACAGCAGACTGAGGCCCCCCGCACGCAGCACCACCACCATAGTGTGCACGCTGCCCACCCAGGAACTATAAGGAGCATCAATGCAGCTGGTCAGCAGGCAGGAAGCATAAGTAAAAGGCAACCCTGAACAGACAGAAGTTGCCATGCTATCACCTTTGCAGTAACAAACTGCCTGTGGAACCTCAGGAAGGGGACACAGCCCACGAGAAGCTGTCAAGGCTGAGCACCTGCTACTCTATACCACTGTACGCTTTCTGCATCTGAAATCGTGTGAGACTCCAGGGAATGCTCTCGCCTCTCTGGCCCTCATATCCCTGACCTGTGAACTGCGGAAGAGAACCAGCCCCTGGTCAGGAAGATGAGGGCCACAGAGGGTCACATGACATGGCCCATGCATGCTGGGAACTCAGTTTTTACCTTGGCAATAATTATCTATTCACATCTTGCCTGTGAGCTCTAAAAAGGCAGGACCCGGCAAAATCATCCTTGTATCCCTTTGCAAACTGCACAGAGTCTGAAAAGCTTGACATCTAACTGCTCATTCACCAAAGCCCCAGGAAGGGTAGGGCGCTAAAATAAGAACTGTAACTGTAACGGTAACAACTGAATTGTAACTGTAAAACAGCTTTAGGTAAATAAGGGGAACAGTTCGGCTTTAGGTAAATTAGGGGTACAGTTCGCAGGCCTGTGAGAGGATCCTCCGATTTTTGTTACCCTAGTATAGGGATAGGAAAAAAAATGTACTTTTAAGGAATACGTTTACAGAATTTTGGCCCATAAACATTTTATTTAAAAAGCTAGCAACACAAAAACCTACTCACAGCCAATAGCCAGGTAACGGAAAAAGAGCCACCCGCTGATCAGTGGTTCCTTCGGGTTCCGCGGTGGTTTATTCATGATGTCCAGGTCAGGAGGGTTGAACCCCAGAGCAGTGGCAGGCAGGCCGTCTGTGACCAGGTTGACCCAGAGCAGCTGGACAGGGATTAGAGCCTCGGGAAACCCAAGGGCTGCTGTCAGGAAGATACTGTTTCCACCCAAGGAAAGAAAAGAAAGACCTCCGTGACTTTTGAAAACTAGTTAAGCAGCACCACTGTCCCTCCTCCTCCTCCTCCTCCTGATCCCTGAGGTGATCACAGCCCGTCTATTATACCTCGTTTCTGAATTTGTGTTTAAGAATTTTGCAGTATTTCATTTAAATTCACTGCTGTGTTAAAGACGTCTCTGCCCATTAGCACAGCTGCAGACAAGCCCCTTCCCCTTGCATACAACCCCCATGAGGCCCAAGGTCCCATTACCTCTACAGGGACCCGTCACCCATAACAACCCAAGACAGGCACAAGGATGAAATGGCTAATAAATGGAGAGCAAACGGGGAACTGCTCCTCGTGACCAAGGCTGTGGTTACAGCAACACAAGTGGGACCATCAGACACCCACCAGACAACCTCTCCCACGTTAGATGAGATGAGGTAGCGGATGAACTGCTTCATGTTGTTGTAGATGGCCCGCCCCTCCTCCACGGCAGCCACGATGGTGGAGAAGTTGTCATCTGCTAGGACCATCTCGGAGGCAGTTTTAGCCACGGCAGTGCCAGAGCCCATAGCAATGCCAATCTCAGCTTTCTTCAGAGCGGGAGCGTCATTCACACCGTCTCCAGTCTGAAACGAAAGGCACCCACAGTCACTGACTGCTTCTGTCCCAGTGAGTATGTATGTAAAGTACACACGTCTGCCCTGACCAGGACAAACACTAGATAATACCACCCAACTGCTCCTCTGTGACTGACTAACGAGGGCCTCCAGGTTTTAAACTATGCTAGGATCTTATATCACACCAACTACCGAAAACAATTCTAGAGAAAACAGCTGAGAACATGACAAAAGAAGATCCAAATCAGGACGCTATTACTAAAAAGGTTTAGTGATAAAAATTCTAATCTGAAAACAAAACAAAACAAAACTACAATCTGCTGCTAGGCATCTGTCCCACCCAATCACTCACCATAGCAGTGATCTCATCGAAGGACTGAAGGAACTCCACGATCTTAGACTTGTGAGAAGGCTCAACTCTAGCAAAGCAGCGGGCATTCAGGCAGGCATCCCTCTGGGCTGAGGGGCTGAGTTCATCGAACTCCCGACCTGTGAAAGCCTTTGACACCACATCCTCATCTTGGCCAAAGATACCAATGCGGCGGCAGATGGCCACGGCGGTGCCCTTGTTGTCCCCTGTGATCATGATGACTCGAATACCTGCTTGCCGACACAGCTTCACAGAGGAGGCCACTTCAATCCTGGGAGGGTCCAGCATGCCCACACAGCCAACAAAGGTCAGGTTCGTCTAAAGCAAGGGAATCACCGAGTTAAAACAGAAAGCTCTATTTTGAAAATGGGCGACTTACCAATTTTTTCCCCTTGTTTGTGTTGCTGGGGATTGAACCCAGGGCCTTGCAGACACTAACTAGGCGCTCTTAACACTGAGCCACACTGTCAGGTCCTGTTAGTTTTTTTTTAAATGAGTGAAGTCACTACATCTTGTTTTAAAATCATTCTAGTTGTTTCTGCAGAATTGATGTCTGGATCTAGGGCCTTTGCCTTGAGCTATATCCCTACGTGTTTTTTATTTTGACACAGGGTCTTGCTAAGGTTGCTGATGGGCTCAAATGTGGAATCCTTTTGCCTGGCTTCCAAATCGCCCTTTAATCTCTTACAGTAGTCTAGCATGAGGAAAAACACCCTGAGGAAAGAGCATTTTGCGATCAGCCATTCCAAGGTCCATGGGACCAAAGCTCTTCCCTTCAAAGCTTTAGGATATCTTATCCTGGATATGGGAATTCTACTCTGATGAGAGAAAAAGGAAAAAAAAAAAAAAAAAAATCAACCACAACCCCTCCAAACCCCTTAGTTTAGGTATTCTCATCTTTAAAACTTAATGAATATTTTTAAGTTTTAACTTACGTGAGTTGTAAAACCAGTTTTATTAGGTTATTAAAGCTAGTCTTGACATTTTTACTTTGAAAACAACAGAATTTTATGAAATTACTAACTGTATGTTTGAAGCAGCAGCCTCAATTATAAGGGTGACATGTGTTCCCTGGGGAAAAGCCACAGCCCGCCCCCGTCTGCTTGCAGCAGCTCCAAACACTGCCTGCACGGCGTGGGAGGAGACCCTTCAGCTACCTCATACTTGATGAAGTTGGCAGAGTCTTCCAGGTGCATCTCTTCTCTTCGCAGTGGGTTGTCGTGAGTGGCCAGGGCCAGGCACCGCAGTGTGTCGCTGCCGCTGCCCCACTCCCGAATGACAGACATGATCTTCTGTTTGACTCCAGGGGTTATGGGGACCTTGGTACTCCCAACTCGAATGTGGGTACACCTGTCAATGACACCTTCTGGAGCACCCTGGGAATATTACATATTCAAATCAGTTTTACTTGCTGGCCCTGGGACCTTCGCCCTGCGTAGGAAGAGCTCGGGCAGCCTGCTATCTGTACTTGCCTTCACAAACATCTTGCTCATGGATGTCCGGCTCGGTTTGTTGGGTGTGCAGTACACAGACATTGATTTCCTATCACGTGAAAACTCTAAAGTAAATTCCTTTTTCATCAGCTGCTTAATGACCTGTAAGGAGAACAAAGATGGCATATGGTTGGCTACCCCATTTCCGTAAGTTTCCGGAGTGTTCACCAAATACACACAAGGCACCTAATCGATGACAGACACTGCGGATACAGCAATACAAAAACAACTTCTTGCTCTCATGAAATCTGTACCCTACTGAGAAAGACTACTAAGTGAAACATACTATGTGCTATGGAGAAAAAGCCATAGGGGATAGAAAACTGGTGTAAAGGGGCTGGGGATTTAGCTCAGAGGCAAAGCGCCTGCCTGGCAAGCACAAGGTCGTGAGTTCGGTTCCCGGTACTGGAGAAAGACCAAAAAAAAAAAAAAGAAAACTGGTATAAAGTGCTGGGGATACAGCTCAGTGGCACAGTGCCTAACTGGCAAGTGCGAATTCATGAGTGTGATTCCTGGTAACAGCAACAAAACTTAGTCCTTAAGTTACATGCTGCTTAGGAGAGAAAACACAGACTGTCATACTAAGAAAAGAAAACTTGTTTAAGTACAGGCAGCAATGTCTCATTCAGTGGATGGCGGGTGGGGACATAGGAGTCAGACTCTGCACGGTCTGAATAGGAGCAAGAGGACGGCGTGGGCCACACTCCAGGCAGCCGGACACGGTTTGGCGCCCTCACGGGGCCCTCAGTGAGCGGTGTGGCTGAACAGTTTATGAGCAAGGGCCACTGGGGACAGGTGATGGGTCTGCAGTCACTACGGCACTTGGTAATTAGTGAAATGAGGAGACAATGGAGGGCTTCAAACTCCAGCTACGAACTCTTGGGAGACAAGCAGCACCACATAGTACAGTAATGTAACGTGGAGGTGGAGAGCTCTGGCCAGAGCAGCAGGGCCCATGTGGCTGTCACACGGAGCTGCTAGGCCTATAAAATGAGACTAAGGCATCACAGAAATAATTTGTAATAATTGTAATAGCATTAGGAAACCAGCAGCTACCCTAGACTCTAGCACATCGGCAGTGTTAAACCCATAGGACCAGAGAGCATGGCAGAAAAGGAGAAATGGACAAAGACTCGGCATAAGAGCCTCCAGTTCCTGGTGGGACTTGAAGAGCCAGCTGGTGAGATTTGGAGAGAAAGCAAGGAGGGAGAACTAGCCTGGTGTCTTGGGAGCCAAGTGAGTTTCAACTTGTAAGCTGAAGTACCAGGTGATGGGTCAGGTAAGGTGAAGACAGGAAAACCTTTAGCATCAGGCCATTAGCTACAAATAAAAGATACCTTCTCCTTTCCAATTTTTCTTGCATTGTTGCACAGACCAGGACTGCCAGTAAAATCTCAAATAAGAATCATTAAGCAGAATTCTGTTTCCAGAAAGTATGATGCTAGCGTGGGTGATAAGCAGCCCAATCAGTGTGAAGACACACACCGCTAGCAGGTATAACTTTTTATCGTGTACCTTTTCTGCATCTGTGGAGATGTTCTCACTGTTTTTCGCTGTTACTTTGTGTGTGGTCAATTACACAGATTTTCCACACACACAAGAGCCACAGTAATTTGTGGAAATCACATAGAACCTCGGCATCCAATCTAGGAAGCTGTGAGGTTTGGAAGGGCACACAGATGGTGAACCAGGCCAGGCATCCTAAGGTATGTGCCAGCCACTGAGCCACCTCAGGTGGCAAAGGAGTATGAGCCCTGTTGAAATCGGCATGGAGCCCGAACACAGTGTTTCCACCAAGCACTGGTACTACCAACAGCTCCACAGCTCGAGCAGCCCAGAGGGAAGTCCCTAACTTTAAAGGTTTGGACATACACAGGGCAGGGGTCCCCCGGGAGAGAATCAGAGCTTTTAGGAGTGGTGGTTCCAGTCACATGGGCAAAGCAGCTGGGCCTTCCTCTCTGCCCCTGGACTATGGTTCTTGCTGAGCTGGGAATGGCAGCTGGGCCTTTTCACGAGTGACAGGCACTTCTGATGTTTTCAACAAGCTAATATGAAACAAATGAGGCCAAAGAGGCCATGGACAAGATGCCCGGTCTCTAATACAGACGGCCTTTCCTGCAATTGTGCTGCTCTCAGCAAAGGCACCATCTTTTACGCTCCACACCTAAAAGTGAATACAGCTACAGGTCTAACCTCAAACAATTACAAACTTGTCTGTGAAGGTGAGTTTTCAGGTCACCTGACATACAGAGGTCTGCAAAGTAACAGCTGTCACATACAGTGTGGCTTTGAAAGGATTTCTCTGGGCCGGGGAGATAGCCAGGATGTAAGTGCCGACCTGAAAGACTTCTCTTTGCTTACTGGCTGTCAGGGAGAGGCCTTAGCACTTGCCGGCTGGCTTGAACCTGTGCACGCATGACTGTCCCATCAGGAGGCTTTTCCCACTGGTGACACAAACAGATTTTTGTCTGTCATTTTACTAATTAAAAAATGCTCGATGGGAGTCATGCCTATAACACCAGTGGTTCCACCTTCCTAGCCGCAAGACATATGAATTTACACCCTGTTGTGAACGTTGATGGCAGTAGTACACGGCTGTTTCATAGCAGTCACATCAGCAGGGGCAACATGCCAACTGTCCAAGGCCTACACTGCGTGAGACTACGAGTCAAGTACACACTACAGTCAGTTAAGGCGCTTTCCGCACCCTGGTGTGCGCAGGTAAACTCACGGAAACGAAGGCCTTTGAAGTAGGAAGCCAGTTCTGCCTCACACCAGGCAAGGCAGGCCCTGGCATCCTTCCCTGCCAGTGTCCCAAGTGGGTAGGATGGGCTCCAAGCCCTTTCCCACGTGGCCCCAGACCCCGTGTGGCCACAAAAGCTTTCAGTTCTCGAGGTCCTTAGCAGAGCAGGCGCCCACCATGCCTAGCCTAGGCTGCACTGTTTGCTCGTGGTGGTGGAGCCCTTGTCCCCAGTAACACTTCTTCCTCTTCTGCCCTAGATCTTGACAGAGATAAGGGGTTTACAACAAGCAAAAGCAGGAACATTATAACTGACCATTTAAGAGAAGGGGCCTTGACTTTGCATGGTTTGTAGAACTAAAAAAGCCTGTTTTTAACCTCTCCAACCCTAAGCCTGTTCTTTAAACATAGTCAGCTACCTTTCTCCTCTTGATTCTCTAAATTCTACCAGGAAGCTTTAAGGATTAAGGAAGTCCTACAGAAAGGCCTCAGTGCCAACTGATGGCCACCTGGGGATGACTGTCACCTGCAGAAATGGCCCTATCACACTGGAGTCAAGCTCTCGCACGGAACAGCACTCTGCCCACAATGCAAGGCAGGTAGTGTTTACGCTGGTACAGTGTGGAGGGGCTGGGAGCTGGGCAGATGCAGAGCAGGGGCCCTGACTTGTGTGAAATTCTCGCTACTCCTGCCTGTATGCAGAGGGGATCTTACTCCTTTTTCCAGTCTATCTTCTCCAGCTCCTGCAGTTCCATCCCCAAGTTTCCAGAGGTTACAGCTTGCCCCTGGTGCCCTCACCCAGTGGCGCTGCATGGCCTCCTGCTACTGACACTCGTCCTACTGTCCCTTATCCAAACCACCATCCAACACTTCCGTTAGGACAGCAGCCACTTCTGGTTTTTCAGGTGAACAGTGACAGGGTGGCCAGTTTTGTGGCAGCTGTTGCAGGCCGCCCTCGGACGCAGGCCCAGCTGCTTGGCCTTGTGAGGCCGCAGGAAGCTATGTCTATAGAGTGCCAGGGCAGCCTCGTGGGCTGGGGAGGATTGGGGAGCTGCACCTCCTGACAGGGACCTTGTTCAGGCTGTTGGAGCTCAAGTCCAACTCACTGTGCAGGCCACACAGCCTGGCAGGACAGGGGCTTGGAAACTACTCATCTGACTGTGTCAGGAGTGTGCTGACCTCATCAGATGAATTTGCTTTGGTTTTTTTCCTCTTAACACCAAGGTCCGTCAAAAGTAGTATTTCCTCCCCTAAATGTTTAGCAACATTTGGCTGGAAAGTTTTGGAGGGGGCAAAGTTTTTGACTTAAAATTTCCCTTTACAAAGGATTATTAAAATTTTGTGTTGACTTAGAAGGCTGTATGTTCCTAAAGGGATCCGGGACCGTTCAAGTTCTAAACTGTTGAATTTATTGCCGTGAATACGTTCCTAATGCTTCTGAGGGACCAGAGATAGAGACCGGGCCTGGGGCCATGCACACACTGGGTACCACCATCCCTGAGTGGCGTGACCAGCCCCGCAATTGGCTGTTCATTTTCTTTCCTTTCCTTCAGATGGAAGCTTTTATCATAGATTTTTTTTTTTTTTAAATCGTGGATTTTTAACCCTTTTGTACTCCCTGTACTTAAAGACAAATTTTAATGCAGTGCATCCCATTTTCATTATTTAGTTCCAAATACCCTCTAATTCCCACTATTGCTTTTCTTTGGTAACACACAGACTATCAAAAAAATTAGCTTCCAAATATTTGGGGGGAACTGCTGGCTAACAATGTCTAATTCCACTGTGCTTAGCAACATAGTCTGTCTAATTTTAATCCCTGGTAACTTGAGAGTCTTGCTTCACAGACCAGCCATACTGTCTACCTTGGTGAATAACCCATAAGCATTTGAGAGCACAAAAAGTGGAATAACAGAAATGCAGATTTCATCATGAATATTTACTTTTGTTCAGATCTTTGGAATGTCTGATTTTCCCATTTATTAGAATACTAAACCTCTAACTGGAGACTTTTCTCCTTTTTGATCTGACCAATCTTTGCTTCATGTACTTTAAATGTGCTCCTAGGTACGTGGACAAATGATGTGTCTTTGGAATTAGCACAAGGTCAAAGGGGACTCTGATAAGAGGTTTTGATGTACTGATGGAGGTAAAAGCTTGAACAGAAAGGCTTCAAGGAAACAGGCATGGAACAGGTTAGTATGTTAAAAACAGGCCTTTCAAGGAATTTTATTACGTAAGAAAAAAGTAGTGCTAAATAGGGAAATAAGGTCAAAGAAAAGTTTAAGATAAAAACATACTAGCCAGGAGGATCATTGGGCGTTTGAGACCAGCCTGGGCTACAAAGTGAGCTCAAGGCCAGCCTGAACTGCATAGCAAGACCCTGTCTCAAAAAGGCAAAAAAAAAAAAAATCAAAACAAAATATAAAAAACAAAAAAAACCCATACTAGCTATTTGCCCTGTGCTCATGAAGTGAACCCTGGAAACCGAACTGCAAGAGAAATGCCTGGCTTTTGCTAGGAATAAGCACAGTCCAATCACAGCCCTCGTGGGCACCGTTGCTTACCTAATTATATTGTCTGGAAATTATTATTTTATTATTATTATTATTGTTTTATTATCTATTGCTTGCTTTTATTTTCTTAGTCAAATAGCAAGATCATTTTACCTGAGCATGAACATAGGGAAGTAGGTGTTGCAAGTTTGAGAAGATATAATTAGTTGTCCAAGAGAGCAGAAGAGTGAATGGACTACGTAGATATGGTATGACTGATGGCTGCACGAACAACACACCAAATGCAAGTACTGACCGAGTTGCAGGCATTTGCACGTTCTATTTTAGAGAGACCCTTCAATTCGGTATCAAATACATTCATCTTCTCTACCAGGCAAGTGAGAGCAGTCTCTGTAGCTTCTCCAACTTTTTCATACACGCCTTTCGCCTGCATTGATTAAAGGCATATAAAATAAGAGTAGTAAACAGGTAAACAACTTTTTTCTTTTCCACAGAGAGACAACCTGGCATCTTGCATCATTATTCTTTGGGGCACGTTTTTCCTACACTAACTACAGCAGAGCACCAGATAATTAAAAATGTACTCACAGCACAGGTATACATGTTACCTTATTCTATAAAGTAGCTTTGTTATGATAGTCTATCAAGTGGCTTTTTCATTTCCCTTCCACAAATCATAGTATATATTATTTCATTAAGTGTAAGAAGCCACTAATTGTAATATTCATTTAGTATTTCAAACAGTAGGTTTCAAATTCTAGATCACTGCTCATTACTGAGGAGTTAACATTCTCACTTTGCGCCCAGCTTGCCTTGAGACAAAAGAAGAACATCTATTTCCATTATTAAAAAAGAAAGCTAGCTAGCTTCAGACTTGATCCTCCTGCCTCAGTTTCCCAAACAGCTAGCACTATAGGCACACACTGTCATGCCTGGCTGGTTTATATTATCATTTTATTGTAATCATCATCAAAGCTTTAAGCTTGTCCAAAAATACACAGCTGGCCATCTTAAAAAGAAAATCAATACCCTATTCCCTCCAGAAAACATTTTCTGCCGGGTGTGGTAGCGCAAGTCTGTAATCCCAGGACTGAGGAGGCTGAGGCGGAAGGATCATTTGCAAGTTCAAAACCAACCTGCGCTACAAACTGAGTTCAAGGTCAATCTGAACTACATAGTGAGACCTTCTCAAAAAGACCAAAAAAAAAAAAAAGCATTTTCTAACTGGATTGTATTCATTTATATAACAATCATGACAAAATTCTTAAGAAATGACAATGTGCCGGGTGTGGTGGTGCACACCTGTAATCAAAGCACTTGGGAGGCTGAGGCAGGAGGATCGCTGGGAGTTCAAGACTAGCCTATACTGCATAAGTGAGCTCAAGGCCAGCCTGAACTGCACAGTGAGACCCTGTCTCAAAAAGACCAAAAAAACAAGGAAATTACAATGCTCAGTCAGGGACCTACGAATGACACACAGCTCTCTTTGGCCAGATGCTGCTGACCCCAATAGAGATAGGTTCTTGAATGGAAGAGGAAAATAAATCCAGGAACCCTGCTTTCTAAAGGTAAGAAGGGAAGCTGCATTTTCCTTCAAGCCACTCCACCCTTAAACAAGAAATTGTGAGCTCTAGCTTCTCTTTTATGAACAGGCTTACCTCATTGTAATCCAAAGCTGAGTCATTACAAAGAGCACAAATGGTTGCTAATTCTACAAGACCATCATATTGGTGACATTTTACTGGCTTGTCATCTTTATGCCTGTCAAAAGAGAAAACATTCTTAAAGCAGCGTGATCATCACTACTGATTTTTCCCTCAAAATAGATTTTGAAGCCAGGCGTGGTGGTGCATGCCTGTAATCTGAGCACTCAGGAGGCTGAGGCAGGAGGATCCTTGCAAGTTCGAGACCAGCCTGGGCTATATAAAGTGAGCTCAAGGACAGCCTGAACTACATAGGGAGACCCTGTCTCAAAAAGACAAAAAAGCAGAGGGAGGGGCCTCGGGGCGGGAATATAGCTTAGCAGTACAAGTGCCTCCTTGGCAAGCACAAGGTCCCGAGTTTGATTCCTGCTCCCTCCTAACCAAGAAAAGAGCCAGAGATGACTGATTAATAATCACTGTCCCAAGGCTGGGGATTTAGCTCAGTGGCAAAAAACGCCTGCCTGGCAAGCGCAAGGTTGTGAGTTCGGTTCCCGGTACCGGAGAAAAACCAAAAAAAAAAAAAAAAAAAAAAAAAAAAACAAAAACACTGTCCCTACTTTGGCAGTATTGGGGGTTAACCCAGGCCCTTTGCACTGAACTACAACCCCAGCTCTTTATAATCTTTGTTTTCTTTTCCTGAGACAGGATCTCACCATGTTCAGGCTGGTCTTGAACTCACTACTATGTGGTCCAGGCTCCCCTAAACTTTCATCAGTCCTCCTGCTGAGTGTCCGAGTGCTGGGATTACAGGCATGAACCATCATACCTGGCTTGCTTTCTTTTTTAATGTGTTATTTTATTTTAACCTGCTCCTTTAATAAAGATTATCAACTTGAGGCACACCCTGCATTCATTCCGCAGTGCTAAGTTACATCCCCCTTCCCCTCTGACTTTGTAAAATTACTTCACAACTCTCCAGACACTGCAATGCCACCATGGATCCTACAGATGAGGTGGAGGGAGGGTTACTCACACTTCTCCAATGGGTGCGTATGTTGAGCCAGTTATGGTGAACTCATTAAGGGAGCAAGTATCACCTTCAACTTTGTCCAGAATGAACATCTGTGGGGAAGTAGCAGAACGGTATTTAATATTGTGTATATATCTTGTGTATATATCTCACAGTCCTTGTTAATTTTAATAAAACTCCCTGAGTGTCAGCCTTAGGACTGTCCCTTCTCTGACTGCTGTTTTATTTTATTTTATTTTTTCCGGTACCAGGAATCAAACTCACGACCTCGCGCTTGCCAGGCAGGCGCTGTGCTGCTGAGCTAAATCCCCAGCCCCTCTGACTGCTGTTTTAGATCACCATTCCATCCTACCATGCAGCTAACAGTCATTCTGAATTAATAACAAATAGCAAAGGCACCAGAGATACCGACGACAACCCACACCAAACTGGAGACACAAGAACTCTGGATAGCAAAAGGTCAACACCAATGACCCCGGTTATTCTAGAATGTTCAGAATCCCAAATTTCCACTGGCTGGCTAAGAAACTGGTATTAGATAGTCCTGTCTCAGAGCTGGGCATAAAAGCTTGGGAAGAATAAACTCACATTTCACAGTTACATAAACACTCCCTGAGTAAAATCAGACAAACTGCTTTTCTGCACCTCCCCACTTACTTTTATTGTGGTAATAGCTCATTTTCTATGAAGGTGCCTAACTACATGTATACAGTAAGGAGCCAGTAGGGCTAAGTGAACTGCTTTCCCCTAGACAGATGGACTCGTGCTTAGAAACCCATTCTTTCTCCCTCTCCCTTCTCTTTTTGGTGGTGCTGGGGATCAAACCAGGATGCTGGCAGGCAAAGGCAAGCAAGCACTACCACTGAGATTCAGTCCCCCAGCCCAGGAAAGAACTATTAATGTTACAGAAGGACCAAGTAGCTGAGCATGGTAGTGCATGCCTAATTCCAGCACTCAGGATGCTGGGGCAGAAGGATGACCTGGGGTACACAGTGAGGCAAGCCTGAACTACATAAGGAGAGCCTGTCTTAATCAAAACAAAACCAAGTGCTGGGGATTTAGCTCAGCGGCACAGCGCCTGCCAGGCAAGCGCAAGGTCGTGAGTTTGATTCCCGGTACCAAAAAACAAAAACAAAAACAAACAAACAAAAAAACAAAACCAAGTGACATAGGCTACTTTTCTTAATGATGGATTTTTGTCTTGATTTATGGCTGGGGTAGGAGGACTTCAAGTTCAACCCCAGCCTAGACAAGTTAATAAGATTTTGACGGGATGGGGTGGCATATGCCTGTAACCCCAGAAATCAGGAGGCTGAGGCAGGAGTACTGTTGCGAGTTCAAGACCAGCCTGGGCTACAAAG